GAGCTCACCATGCCCTACTCTATCATCCGAGGGGAGTTCTTTGAACTGAAGGCGACTGTCTTCAGCTACCTGACCAGCTGCATGATGGTAATCTGTGCTGCTACTTAAACTCTGACGAGCAGCAAAGAATCACAGACTTACTAAAGAAAAACTTCAGTATTTCTGAGATGAATGAAAATACTGAGCACATTTAAAATTGAAATTTTGACCTGTTCCTCAAAAGAGTCGATATTTAAAATGTATTGTTTGCCCCTGGAACAGATCACTGTAACACCAGCATCTTCCTCACTTTACACCCTCACCTCCCTGTTTGGTGACCAAACCACATCTTGTTTGTGCGCCAGCGAGCGCAAGACCTTCAGCTGGAGCATGACCCCATCGGCCTTAGGTGAGGGTCAAGCTTTGGAGCAAATGCTAGAGGGTATCAGTGTGAAGGAGCCATGTGCCCCTTTTCCCACCACTTCTCCTTTGAATCATTAGACACTGAGATCCCTTGAATAACGAGGGTTTGATCGTTTGCAGGATTTTGAAAGCCATTTTCGCTGATGTGTTTTAGGGGTTGTGGAAGTGACTGTGTCTGCTGAGGCAGTGGCTTCGACGGATTTATGTGGTTCTGGGGCCGTAACTGTTCCAGACAGAGGTCGCATCGACGTGGTGACAAAATCCCTCATCGTGAAGGTTGGTGCCATAAACACAAGATGTTAACGTATTCACCACCTTAGTATTTGGGGGGAGAAAGTCAATCCATCTTGGTATAAATGTTAATGCTATATCTTCATGTCCTTTAGCCAGAGGGAATTGAGGTGACAAAGACCTTCAACTTGCTACTAATCCCAAAAGGTCAGCATGGTTTTCTAAGGCTATCGCCTAGTAGAGCAGTTTTCTTTTAATACCACTGTTTCAATAAATGTTAACTTATTTCACTAAACTAATAGAACTGACCACACCTGTACTCTTCCCCATGTAACGTGGCTGTTTTTGTCTGTGTGCAGGAAAAACTGTGAGGGAAGAAGTTCTGGTCAAACTTCCGTACAACGTGATTGAAGATTCTGCCCGTGCTTTCATATCAGTCCTGGGTAAACCTGATCATGTATTTTGAAATAATAATACATGAAAAATTATATATGATATATAAATAATGTTTCAATTAATATTAAATACTATGCTGTGAGGCTGTTTCTTCCTACCTATTACTCTATTAGAAGTTCATGAGTTGATTTTAAGCTTAGCAAGCATACTCAAAGTACCATTGGATTACAACAAAGTACTGCATTTGATGTATTTGGTATTTTTCTAGGTTGTTGCCATGTTTTCATTTATCTGAAATTAGATGATGGGTTAGTTACATGTTCAGCTTTAGTGAGTCTTTTTTCCATCAGGTGACATTCTCGGTCGGGCTCTGAAGAACCTCGACAGTCTGCTGCAGCTGCCAAGTGGATGTGGAGAGCAGAACATGGCTCTCCTCGCCCCCAACATCTTCATCCTCGAGTACCTAACCGACACACAGCAGCTCACCCCAACCATCAAGGAAAAGGCTACCAGTTATCTAATCACTGGTGAGTGCAGCACTTCTCTAAAGCTAAAGCAAGGAAAGCGAAAGTCATGCCTAGGTTAGGACATTTCAAAGCCAGATCGACCAGCTGAGTTAAACATACTTTAAGTAGAAAATCTTGAAAATAAAATCTTGAAGTTTTGTGAACCAAACTAAAAGCTAAAGATATTTTACAGAGACAATCAATTCAATTCAA